AAGAGAAGTAGAGGGAAAAATCTTTCTGATCCAAGCAAAAGCCTTGTATGCATCTGGAAATAATGCATGGTGGAAGACTTACCCAAAGAAGGATCCCTGGGAAGGATCTTTGGCTGCAAGGATCAGTGAAGAGGGGAGGGTGGAACAGTAGGAAGTGACATAGCACATGGGCTTTAGAAGCCACGATGAAGGTTTGGTTTTTTTCCCACTAAGAAAAGGAAGCTGGGAAAAAGTCAGAGAGGAAGATGAAATAGCTAAGCTCAGCACTTCAGAGCCCACAGTCTACCTGCCGTGAACTGTGAAGCCTGGACTCTAGCATATGAGTATGGTCCTGCTGTAGCACTGTGGATGAGTTAATGGCAGCTTGGAACGGTGCTCAACATCACTCTTCCTAGGCCAGTTTTCTCTCAGTGTCACTTCTAAATTGTTCCTAGTTGCCACTCTTGTTCCTGGAGCACCTTTCTTCAAGGATATCGTTTTCTTTCTCTTGGGTCATGACTGTTTGATACAGCAGGACACACGTTGTGGGGGCCCACAGAAGTGGGTCCTTGCCACCTTGTCTGATGGTCAGAGATCTTAAACCCACTCTTGCTCTTTCAAAGCTATTGACGAGAAGTCTGACTTAAGGAGCGGCTACAAACAAGATGTCCCAACCTAGGGTGTGGTTACTTGGTGTTTTGGATGTTAAGATTGCCCAAAAAGGTGGATCCACTCCACCTTGACCAAAGGTCAGAGAATTCAAGCCTATTCCTGCTCCTTCAAGGATAAGACAGGAGGTTTGACCCAGGGAGTGACTGCCTACAGAATGCTTGGACTAAGGTGTGTTTGTGGCATATCCTGCCTAAACAACAGAATATTTAACTGTTGGGTCAAAATAGGGCCTGTACCTGGAGGCCTGTAAGACAGAGGAAAGCCTGGCTTGAGTTTGAAGGATGATCTCAAAGCTACTCAGTGAGAATGAGACAGCAAAATCTAGGGAGACACCCCTTCAGCCAGAGGGAGGGCTTGACTGTCTCTCATTGGTGGAGGTACATCACACAATATCACTTAATCCAAATAAGCTGATGCTCACAGTAATAAACTGAGTTCCTGCTTTGACTTGACTCCCTATAGTGTCTGATTGTCCTGCAAGGGGGCTGCAGATCTGATTTTCTTGTATTGTGGGGCTGCAGAATGGGCAGATAGCACACTCACCTTTCCCTGGGGAATACAGATAAGGAGGCCTGGCACTTAAATAAAGAATATATTTGCTTGATAGATATTTCAAGTACTGAAGCAAGAAATTGTTCTGTTTGTCCTTTGTGTCATTTAAAAGCAGTCTTTTGCCTCTTCTCCCGTTTCTGTATTGGGGTATATAAGCATAAGGAAAATAAAAACAGGCATATTCAGCATTAGTACTGAATACTCCTCCCAGTTCTATCCTATGTCTCTGTATTTCTTTCGTATCTCTGTTCCTCCTATCTAATTGTTCTAATCCACATGCCCACACCCTGGAACGTGTGAACCCTATCAAGGCTGGAACCCAATAGATGTCACCCCAATGTGTGGCTAAAACATCATGGT